CCTCCTCGTGAATGAGGCTGTCCCTGCCGTTCCCAGCTGCACGTCTCCTACACCGAGTACTTCAAGCTGGAGCCGCTCCTGGAGTACCACCGCGTTGTCAGCTTGGAGGAGTTCATGGAGAAGCTGGCGCCCGTCCATTGGCCTCCGGGCAAGCGAGTGGCTTACTGCTTCGAGGCAGCAGCTCAGAGAAGCGCGGACAAAAGTACTTGTCCCATGAAGGTAAGTTTCCCCTCCCTCCCTACATGCCCAGTTTGGTTTTGCTAGTTTTAGTGAAAAGAGTGACTGACTTATTGAGGCTGGCACTCATTTGCGACTCTGCTTAGGAACTGCGTGCTCAAAATCATTCTCTGTGGCGTTCCTTTCACTGCTTATCAGTACGGCTGGCTGCGCCTTATTTTGAGTCAACTTCATGCCTCACTTTATCACCAGATTTATTGACAAATAAATCTGTAACAAAAAGCTTATCTACTGCTGTTTTTTTCCCATTTCCAGTGCATGCTACAGTTGTCCAACTGGTTTTGACGCAACCTCCCTAAAATAAAAGTTTGAGATCTGTAGTATTTGAGATTTTTAGGACAGCTTTTTTTTTTTTTTTTTTAGGGCAGTAAAATTTTTAAATATATTTCACCCTCTCCTTCCTATGGAGATGGATGGCGAGCAGGCTGTTATATTTGGTACTCTTTCTTCCTGTAACAGAAAGAGTGCCTGCAGAACTCTTCAGCTTTATGGCCTAGGATCTTGTCAGATCTGTGTTGTCAGGCTCTGCGCATGCACTGAATGAACACCTATATTTCCTTTGCAGGATGGAAACCCGTTTGGTCCGTTTTGGGATCAGTTCAAGGTGGATTTTGATAAGTCTGAGCTCTTCAAAGGAATTTCGTTCAGTTCCGCATACAAGGACCATTGGATCCAAAGGTAGTAAACTAAAGTTGGGAGGACATTAGCGTGCAGGTGTAGACATTTAAAATAACCCTTGAGAGCAGTTGTGCCTGTCACTGCAGGGTCTTCATCATTTGGGGGGAGGAGACTGAAGTGTTTATTTAGCAATATAATTAAAAACCTTAACTTTTTTTTTTTTATGAAATATTGGCTTGAACAGGCTCTTCCTGTGGACAATATTAGGTGTGTACTCTGTTAGGCTGATTGATTTCTGAGCCGGTAATAACATTTGATGACTGTGTTTATTGACTGAATGTTTAATAACTCTTCAAAAAGATTTTGGTTCTCAATTGCTGATCATGAACCTTTGCAGGTTATTTCACACTATCAGAGACACAAGTGACTTTGATCATATCAGCAGGATTGGATGACAGAATTGCTGTAGCCTGGGATGAAAAACATAAGCTCTCATTGCTTGCTAGCTCATTGCTATATGTGCCAGATTCTTATCTTTGTGTTGTCCATCAAATGAGATTAATTCACTTGTCACCCAGTCTGAGTTAAAAAAGTGGTATCTTAGTTTTGCTTCTGTTCACATGAATCCAAATCGTTATGCCATCTTGTGTAAAGTGCTGTATATTTCAGGGTACATCATAATTTCCATTGTAACCTTCAAAAAAATCAATGTGCAGCATATTTTGTGTAAGGTTTCAGACTCAGAGTATGGAGCTAAGGATGGTGTCACTTTCTAAACAGGACCAACTAGCATCCAGGGTTCAGGCCAGAACTCAGGTGCTCAGTTTTGTATGTGTTTGTCCTAACAGGAGCGGAAAGATAGAGGATGTAGATGGAGCATTGAAAGCTGGGTGTAAGGCATAAGGCAGCTGCAAGAATTGGGGGCTGAAGAAGCCATTTCCCTGGTGCAAGACATAGTTTACAATTTTGTTGAAAAGCAGGCAAGCTGAAAGCTTGTGTTCTTGTCTGTTTTTTATTCTTAGGTTTCCACCACCTGAGCACCCTGTACTTGCCTTACCTGGAGCACCAGCCCAGTTTCCAGTCTTAGAGGAGCATCGACCTCTGCATAAGTATATTGTGTGGGCTGATGAAATGGTGAAGAAAGGAGAAGCCTATATTCATTCTCTCCTGGTTAGGCCCTACGTAGGAATCCATCTGAGGATCGGCTCAGACTGGGTATGACTCCTGTGTAATGCTTGTTGATGAAGTTCGTGCAATTGCCATAGGTTGGCTGTCCTTTTGTGGAAAAGGCTATCAAAAGAGGGACTCCCGTTCTGGGGTGAAAGCTTAAACCCAGCTTGCATTCAGTAACTGACTGTTTGTGTATGAGAAATGGTGTTGGGATTCATATTTAAAACAGACTGTAACTCTGCTAGCAGAGCAGGGACCTGATACTGTTTTCTGTAGCTGTTGCATTCAGACATGGTGTTTTTTCTTCTTCCAATAGAAAAATGCTTGTAATATGTTAAAGGATGGGACAGCTGGGCCTCACTTCATGGCTTCACCTCAGTGTGTGGGCTATGACCGAAACGCTGCTGTGTCTCTTACCATGGACATGTGCCTGCCAGACCTCAAAGAGATCAAACGTGCTCTCAAGCTCTGGGTCAAAAAGACAGAAGCTAAATCTGTTTACATTGCTACCGATTCTGAGCCCTACACCAAGGAAATACAGCAGTTCTTCCAAGGAAAGGTAAATCTTTCAGAAACTCATTCTAGTAGGAATTCTTTAATAAAGACTCTCCTCAGCTTCTGCTTTATTGCTCCCACAGGCAGCAAACAGTTAGCTATGTGATGCGTTTTCCGTGAAATTGAGATTATGTTCAGCAGATAATGGGAAATATCAACGTGACCTATTGTTGAAGTAAAAATAAAAGCACCTAGTGAGTGCGTCAAAGGATTGAGCAGATGTTGGCATGCTGGTTGTCCTTTGAGATACTGAGGGATAGAGTCCTAAGGCATGTGGAACCTTGTACTAAAATGAAAATAAGTAACTGGCTGCTCTGAGGACCTCAGCCCCTTTTCTCACTGGGATAGATGTGTCAGGGTGTTTTCTGGCTCTGTTTCAGTTTAATCCTCTGGCTATTAGGTGTCTAAAAAGTTTCATGTCCCTTATAAGAAAGCATTCCCTATAAGCAGCAGCTGAACTAGGTGCAATGGGAGGTAGGGAGTGGATTTTTGCAATGGAGAAAACTGTCGAGTTAAATTAGAAAACAGACTTTTGGGAAAAACACAAGTTGTGGTAACCCATGTCTGTCTCTTCGGCGAATGGGCTGGGCACCTGGACTAGTTGGTGTAAGATAAAATGACGCTAGCTTTAGAATAAAGGCAAATTTTAGAATAAGGGTTTGAATTGGATCCTGACTGCCTTATTTTTGTCTTATACGTTATGGGGCTTTTGTAATATGCCACACGAGTCCATAGACAAATACTGGCATCTTGAAGTGAGTTTTGTTCATAGCAATAAAAAGGAAACTGTAAAACTCCTTGGAGAACTCTCCCTTTCCTAGAGGTTGAAGGCATGGTGGTGAATAAAGACAAACAATATAAGTGATTTTCAAAAGTTTTGACTTGTTCATAAATCAGTTGTAGGGCAACTTAAGACGGAGTCCATTCCCTTTCCTGTTGTAAATTTATGTTCCCATTTCTACTGTTGTGCCAAGAGTTTTGGATCATAGGAATAGGTGATTGGATTAATTTAATTTCCTTATTTCTCCCTACAGATCAAAGTTGTAAGCTTGCAGCCTGAAGTGGCCCAGATTGACTTGTATGTTCTTGGCCAGTCCGATCACTTCATTGGGAACTGTGTCTCTTCATTTACCGCCTTTGTGAAACGAGAGCGCGATGTGCATGGAAAACCCTCCTCGTTTTTTGGCATGGACTACCCACCAAGGTTACGGGATGAATTCTGACCAAAAGAGAATCAGGCTTGATAGTTCTCAGAACTCTGAGCTTGGTACCTTATTGAGGGACCACTCAATGTTAACGTTGTTCTGCAGCGTGTAGAACATTCAGCTGACCTGTGGCAGACTGGTTTCCAGACCTTTGTTACTCTTCACAGTGACTTCTAGACTGTTCTGTCTGACTTCTTGGTTCTCCCATACTTCTGGCATGGGATCAGATAGAAAGGAAATTTTAAATCATGTCGTTTCTAGGAAGCTATAAACTATGTAGTTTATAAGCTATAGTTTATATAGTTCTCATTATATGGGGTTTGTCAACGATTACAATCAAGCAGCTGCTCAGCTTTCTTCTCCTTCATCTTAATCATTTTACCTGGAGAGGCTGAGAAGCTTCTTGTTGTCTAAAACTGACCGTAAGTTCTCTTTAAGTGCCAAGTATTTTCAGGAGGATTGTGGTCCCTGAAAAAGAGTGCAAGATAAAGCTCAGGCTTGGGAGTTAGAAGATCTGGGTTTTATCGAGTACTGCTGCTGCCTTACTGGAGCCAAATCACCTCTGTGCCTCAGTTTCCGTTCCCCTGTGAAAAGGGGTCTAGCACTTGCTTCACAAGTGTTGTGAGAGTAAACATTTGTGGAGCGCTCTCATCAGTGGTGCTACAGAAGTACAGTGGGGTCACGTGGTAACGTTGCCATGGCCTGTTCAGCCAGTCTTAGTACGTGGAGACTTGGGGAAGGTGGGTTTAGAGGGATACAGACAAGTAATCTTTTGTAGACAGTCATGAGTTGGAGACTGAAGGCTTTGTAGCTGTTAATTTGAGGTGGAGGTCTATGGTAGAAATGTAGCTTTTTTTTTTTTGAAGTTAAGAATTCTAAAATAGCCTTAGTGTAGGTTGGTGTATGTCTTATTTAGGTCCACATTAATGGTTTTCTGATTTTTGTTGTTGTAAAATAATCCCTCTGACAACACAGTTGTCCGTACGGTTGGTTCCCATTGTAGCTATCTGTGGAGAATGTTAGCTAATGGTGAAACAGTAACCGAAACAATTACAATTTGACCCAGTACAGTTTAGTGCTGGTAACACTGATAGACCCTGTCCGATAAATCTCAGTTTGACCAATGCCTTTGGTTACTCCTAGGATTTTTCAAAGACTGAGTGTAGAACTTAATGTTTACTTTTTAAAAATGGAGACTAGATAAAGCTGCGGTACCAGGGTGGCTTCCTCTGATGCACTGTTATGGTCTATATAATGCTCTCTCAGAGCATTTACTTGAGTTTAATTCTGAATGCCTCCCCTTTTTCCCCCTCTCCCTTTGGAAGTGTTCCTGTGGCTCGAAGGAATTTGAAGTTTCAAAGGAGCAAAAGAGGTCTGAGTTAAGTAAGATACCCAAAGTGTTAGGGTGGCATAAATTTGTGTCTTAATTCCTCAGTGCTAGCTCCCAGAAACATATGGGACTTGGTTGTTGCAGGGAATCTAGCTGTATCCAAGGTATTAGGCTAATTAGCAGTTACCTAATTGGAAATCCATTAAGCCAAAATACTGTGTGTTGTTAGGAATTATGTCATATTTTGATATGACCACCGAAGTTACTTCTTTTCGCGGGCATGGCATGGCAGTTGTTGACAAATCAGGCAGAACAAGCACAAGGAATTATGGACAGTTTATTTTGTCAGGCCAAATGGCCTCTCCTGCAGGAGAGACCCTTCATCCCGATACAGCCTTCAGCTTATACACAGCTGGTCATCATACATATTCAATTTTCTTTTTTTTATAAAGTTCTTCCCTAATATGGGGCAAAAAAATAGATTTCAAACTTGCGATTGGTTGTCTCCTGCAAGGAAGCTGTTAAATGTTCAGCTGTATAAGGTCATTTCTTCTTTCTTTGCCACACAGGCCTAACAAACAACAAAGTTTTTGTTATTCATCCTTAACAAAGGTTACCAAACATGGTGAATCAGCACTGGCAGCTATTACACAAAATGGTGATTTTTCCCAAGCAAGATGGAGGCAACCCAAATCTCAGCGTTCCCTCCTTTTGTTTTGTGCATTCCCGCACCCTATATAGGGGCAGAATACTTCTGTTCTTCATACTGATTCGATAACAGAGCACAACACGACGCAGGCAGTAGACTATAACGCTAAGGATTACACGTATTACAATGATGATCATTCCTATCGATGCTAAAAATTGTTTGACAACTGCAGTAAGGCTAGGAAACCAGGTGGTTAACCTGGTCTACCGCTCAGCCACTGGAGGATCTTGTTTGATATCTATGGCCAGATGTTCCAGCTTCTTAAGGTTTTCTTGGATTGGCTATGGTCAGTCGCATTGAAACAACACTTACCTTCAAAGTCTTCACACTCATGATTAACACGTAGCAATAAATTATTCATGGCAGCTCTATTTTGTAATATTCCCTGCTTAGTGGCTGTTAGTTCATCCTTTAATTGAGCGATTAGAGTTGACATGAGATTAATGCTTTTGGCTGAAGCACAAGCAGTTTTCCGTAATTGAAGGTTGCTATCAAGAGCTAGCACAGGAACGCTAACTAGGGAGACAGCTGACAGAGGTTGGGACAATTTAATGTGATGATGCATGGGTTGTAGCTGACTTTGTAATTGCATCACATATTGGGTCACCTGTTCGTCTCCAAAAGACTCTTGTGAGGGGAAACAAAGATCCAAGGAGTTCTATCTGGCTGGCCAAATAGAATTTCGTAGGATGTTAAACCTAAGGTTGAAATAGGTGTGTGACACATATTCCAAAGTGCCAGTGACAGGGCTTCTGGCCACTTAAGTCCCGTTTCCTGGCAAACCTTTGCCAGTTTATTTTTCAAAGTTTGATTCATGTGTTCTACTTGTCCTGCTGATTGTTGTGGATAAGGATTATGTGTTTGTGCCATGATCCCTAAGGCTTGATACAGGTGTTGTAAAATTCAGGCAGTGAAACGACTGCTCTGGTTGGAGCCTATCACTTCAGGGATGCCAAAACGTGGCAAAAGGGCCACGTTTCAATAGGGCTTTCACCACTCTTTTAGCATCTGCAGTTCTAGTGGGGGAGGCTTCCACCCATCGAGAAAACTGGTCCATCGCCACCGAAAGGTGTTTCATTCCATTTGCAGTTTGTAAATCAGCAAAATCTATTAGGAGCCTCTGGAAGGGAACCAGAGCCCAAGGTCACCCACCTTTTGTTTGTGTCCATGGAACAGGATGGGATCAATACTGAGAACACAGAAGACAGGCAGAAGTAAACTGTTTTGCTGCCTGTAATAATCCAGGTGCACCCCTCAATTGTGATATTTGATCCACTAGGTACTTGATGTTCCCATGACTTTTTCCATGGAAGAATTTAACAGCTAGGATTAAGGCATGGCGTGGTAGGACAGATTTTCCATTTACTCTCCGTATTCTATCCCTTGTGGTTGTTGCTCCCATGTTTTCCCAATCATGTTCTCTTTGGGAGTGATTTTCTCATATAGCTGCTTCCAATCATTTGGTGAAAACGTCATGCTCTAACTCGGGCCCTTTTAACACAGCTGCTGCATCTGCTAGATTATTCCCTTGGGTTTCGCCAGATTTATCTCTTTGGGCCTTATGGTAGAGCATAGTCACTTCCTTTGGAAGAATCAGAGCTTCTAATAATTCCTGTATTTGAGGTCCATTTGCCACTTTGTGGCCAGTGGTCCTGATGAATCCCCTCTCTTTCCAGATTTGTCATGTGGCATATACTATGCCTAAGGCAAAATTAAGAGTCTGTAAATATATTGGCGCTCTCGCTTTTAGCAATGCAACAGGCCTGAGTTGAAGCTATAAGTTCAGCAGTTTCGGTGCTAAAAGTTCCAGGCAGAGGTTCAGCCTCAGGGACTTCATATTGAGTTGTTGTGGCATATCCTGACTTGCAGTGCCCTTCAGAATAAAAGGAAGGGGCATTGCGGTACGGAATCCTATCTGGGTTATTCAAAGGTATTTCTGACATGTTACTTGAAGTAGCTGAAATGAAATCACCCCTTCCATTACAGCTGTGATGTGGGTTTCTGTCATTTGGACTTGGCAGGAGTGGCAGGATTTAAAACACTGCATCGTTTCAAAGTAATGTTTGGTTCTCCTAATAAAAGGAGTTCATATTGATGGACTCGGGGAGTGTGCAGTGAATGTCCATGTTGCATCAATAGCAATTGTGCAGAGTGAGGTACCATTACAGTAAGTGGATGTCAAAAAAACCAATGATCTGGATTTTTCTACTAAAAGAGCTGTTGCAGCACCAGACCCTGCGCAGGATATCGTTCCTTGAGCTACAGGGTCTAATTGCACTGAATAATAAGCCACGGCTTGATATTTTCCTGCTGTAACTTGCGTTAAAACTCCACTGGCCACTTCTTATCTTTTGTGAACAAATAAGGTAAAAGGTTTACAGTAGTCTGGCAGGGCTAGGGCTGGAGCCAATGCCACTGCCTGTTTTAATAAGAAAAAAGAGTTGTCTCATTCCTTAGTCCATTCCACCATCCCAGATGGCTTCAGTCAGTGATTTCACCAACCTTACAAACCCTAGCGTCCACTGGCAATTGAATCCCACGGTTCCCAAAAAAAGCTCTGATCTGTGTGGTTTTTTTTTTTTGGCTGTGGTTTAGGTAAGTTATTAATAATTTTTATCCTGTTGTTAATAAATTGTTGTTCTCCTAGCCTAATTCGATTTCCTAGATAAACAACCTCTTTACACAGTTGGAGTTTGGCAAGAGATGCTCGGTGCCCTTTGCTAGCTAATTTCTTTAATAAAAGTATTGTGTCTTTCATACAGGATTCACAATTGCGGCTCACTAATAATAAAAGATCATCTATGTATTATACCAGCACAGACTGACGAGGTAACCTTATATCCTGCAGATCAGTTTTAAGAATACGCAAAAAATGTTTGGAGACCCAGTGAATCCCTGGGGAGGTCTGGTCCAAGTTAGCTGATGGCCTTGCCAAGTAAAGGCAAATAGAAATTGTGAGTCAGCATGAACTGGAATACTAAAAAAGGCAGCAGAGAGATCGACAACTGTAAAGCATCTGGCATCATGAGGTATTTCAGTACTTATTTGCATAGGATCTGGAACTACTGGATGGGGTGCAAATACAATTGGATTAATTGCCCATAAATCTTGCACAAATCAATAAATAGGCCTTCCATCGGGACCAAGCTTAGCTTGGTTTATAATTGAGTATGAGCGTATTACACGGTGAGCTACGTTCTACAAGAATTCCTTGCTTAAGGAATTTGTCAATATAGGCTTTATTCCTTCTTTCATTTTTGGCAATGGATATTGATTTAAAGCCAGGAAATTTTTATTTTTGACTTCAAAAAATTCAGCAGATTTTAGGAGCTCTACCTCAGTAGGGGAGGTAGTCCACAACTGTGAGGGCACCTCATTTAGACTTGGGGGAATCTTGGGTTCTGCTCCTTCAAAGATGGCCATCATCCCGTCTGGCAATTGTAAAGTTAGCCCTCTCTCTCAACATTTAATGATGGCTTGGGTTTTACACAGTAGGTCTCTCCTCAACAGATTAATTGGACTTCCTCTCATTATTAGAAATTCATGCCAGAAGGAGTGGTTACTAATCTCTATTTCAAGAGGCTTGGTAACAGGTAGGATCTAGGGTCTTCCTTCAATTCCTTGGATACTTGCCGTCTTTTTGGATGACGGGCTGATAGGCCAATTCAACGTTTAGTAGGTGGCTCCGGTATCCACCAGTAGCCCCTGGTGGGGTTTATAGTGGACTGTTCCCGTAAGGAAGCGAAGTACCCTTCGATCTTACAAGACATTTTCTTTTCCAGTGTCTGGGTTGATAGCAGTAGTTGCAGCAATCTCATGACGTGGGACCCAGGTCTACTCTCGGACCCAGGGCTCCTCGCTCCCTGGATATGGGAAATCCCTGTCCTCTGCCTTGCCCCTGCCTCCTCTTGTTCTTATTATACCACGTGGGGCTTGGAGAGCCGCTGTAAGTAAGCTAGCTTCTTCGCCTTTTTGTTGTTGCTTTTTTTTTTTTTCTTCTTCCTTTCATCTCTCATTAAACACCAAAGTAGTTATAGAGATTCCCTTCTGTGAGGGTTTCCCTTGCCGTTCAGGAGCATGTAGTGAAGTATTTTTGGATGTCTATAGCGGCTTAGTTCACGAACCGGTTAGCCATAAGTGGTTCATTGGAACTAGTCTGTCATGCCCCTTGTCGTAATAGGGCCTGTTGAAGACGGGCCGCATATTCAGAGGGGTGTTTGTCAGGTTTCTGACGTGTTTATTGAACTGTCGTCCGATTCACCCCTGTTTGACCAGGTTCTCTTAGGGCCCAGAGTAATTCCTCCTGAGCTGTCCTACATATTTGGCATTGCTGATCATCATTCATGTCCCACCCAGGAGCTGTCTGCAGCCACGACTGCCTGCCTCCCCCTGCCTGGTGGCCTAATTCTGCATCTTTTTCAAGAATTACTGCCCTTTCATCTGTTTTAAACAGCTCTTGTAAAAGTATCAGCCCATCTTCCCAGTTGGGGTGGTATCCTGCAATAATTCTTGATATCACTCAGGCAGCCTTCTCAGGGTCATCATGCAATCTCAGCATCTGCTGCTGCCATAACACCAGATCCTGGCATGGCCAAGGCTGGTGAACATACACGGATATGAGCTGGGATGGGGGAACTCCTGCTGCATTGGGCTGCCTATCTGGATTCGGCATTACATGCTATATCATGAGAGCTTGAACAGGAATAGAGGGAGGTGCAGGTAAAGCAGGCAAAGTGACAGAGACAGATGACGTTAAATCAGTAGAGTAAGAGGGAGGCACCTGTGAAAAATTTTTAGAGCTGGTCATTGCTGCCAGACCTCTGGGACAATCGGGTGCCAAATTGTCCCATACATTCCAACGATCCGTTTGACCTGGTGGACAGTCTTCCAAATGGAGCCACATAAATGTTAATCTTGCCTGATCGAAGGAACCCTCGGGTGGCTGTACCGCAGTGGGCATCCCCTCCTGGGTATATGCTGGCCCTTCCTCCTTACCACACGCTTCCTGGATAAGATCTTGGTACCATCTATATGTTTCCAATTATTTCAAATGTCTGCCAAAGGAGTTCCTGGCTTGATCCCACCCTGTGTGTTCCCCGTGATGTCGACTCTTTCCGATGCCAGTGGATGAGAAAACCCCAAACAAGTGCGTCCAGGGTGAACTTGCCCAGATGCCAGTGCAGGCATCTTCACTTGAAGGTTTCCCATCTCAGGCAGCCTATGATCCCACTTGGGTTGCCATGAATCTTAGAAACATCCTATGTTGATAGGACCACCTAAGTTACTTCTTTTCACAGGCATGGCAATCGTGGACAAATCATGCAGAACAAGCACAAGGATTACGGAGAGTTTATTTTGCTGGGCAAAATGGTCTCTCCCGCAGGAGAGACCCCTCATCCCGATACAGCCTCCAGTTTATACACAGCTGGTCATCATGCATATTCAAATTTTTCTTACAAAGTTCCTTCCCAACAGGGGCAAACAAATAGATTTCAAACCCACGACGGGTTATCTCCTGCAAGGAAGCTATTAAACGTTCAGCCGTCTAAGGTCACCTCTTCTCTCTTTGCCACATAGGCCTAACAAACAAGGGCACTATAAAGGTGAGCGAACGTGGGGAATCGGCACAAAATGGCGATTTTCCCAAGCAAGATGGAGGTGACCAAAGTCTCCACGAGCTTCATCAGTGTTTTTCTCAGTGTAACGGTCTTGAACGACGCCATCGGGGCTGCCTTGATCACAAAGCGAGATAAGACTTTCCAAACCTTACTGCGAATATTGTGCATTAAGAGAAAACATAAAGAAAGTGTGTATGTTTTTAACCGTAAAGCACAATGGACCTCGGCTTTGTGTTCAGGAGTCTTGGACTGAAATCCCCCCCCTCTCCCC